AAGATATGTTATGTGCCATATTTAATAGTTTTATGTTTGTGTGGTGTAAAATTAATTGGCTTTATTTTATATTTATTTATTTATTGATTTGGTGTGAATTTTTTTTGATCCTATCCATTAATTCGTTCAAAAATATGTTCATAATGCAGTTCATACATTGAACAGTTTAAATACACCATGATGAGTGCAATGTTAATTTCTGTATTAAATATCAGATATTTTTAATGCCAAGGTAAGTAAAATGACATGTGGTGGAGTAATTAAAAAAAACACAAACCTGAATTTGTTTAAAAACTATTTTGTTTTTGATTAGGATACATGTGTGCATTCACATGTATTCAAGGTGTAAGGAAAATATGTTAGTACTTTTTGCTTGATGTCTGTGTGTCTGTCCTCTTCCAGGTATCTGTGTAAAGTGTGGTAAAGGTGTGTATGGAGCGAGTCAAGCGTGTCAGGCGATGGGGAACCTGTATCATACGAACTGCTTCACCTGCTGCTCCTGCGGTGAGTATCCACACACACACACACACACACACACACACACACACACTAATTAAATGCATAATGCATAATTATTTCAATTTGTGATTCTACTTAGAAATATGTTGAAAGAACAAATGGACCTCTGCTGATGCGCTTTTGTGTTTTGCATGTCTAAAGCATGTTATTTTGTGTCTTTGCTATCAACAGAGGTCCTTTTGGTTCAGCATGAATAATTTTCATGAACATATTTCCATATAAAATGATGTATTTAATTATAAAAGGGAAAATTGTGCACTTAATGAGAATTGTGTATCTAAAATGGGAGAATTGTGCATTTAATGAAAATTATGCATCTAAAATGAGAGAATTGTAAATTTAAAGAGAATTATGCATCTAAAATGGGAGTCTTGTGCACTTAATGCGAATTATGTGTCTAAAATAGGGAAAATTGTGCATTTAATGAGAATTTTGCATCTAAAATGGGAGATTCGAATCTAATTGTAATCAACTGCACAATCTTTAGATGCACAGGAATTAGAAATATTCATCTAAAATGGGAGATTTGTGCATTTATTTAGAATTATGCATCTAAAATGAGAGAACTGTGCATTTAATGAGATGGACGATTCTTATCTAATTGAATTCTAATTCTAATTAAATTCGCAATTCTCCAATTTTAGATGCACAAGAATTTAAAATGGGAAAATTGTGCATTTAATGAGAATTATGCATCTAAAATGACAGAATTGTGCATTTAGTGAGATGAAAGATTCTAATCTAATTGCAGTATAATTCTAATTAAATGCACAATTCTCCAATTTTAGATGCATAATTCTCATTAAATGCACAATTCGTCCATTTAAGATGCACAAGAATTAGATTTATGCATTTAAAATGGGAAAATTGTGCATTTAATGAGAATTATGCATCTGAAATTACAGAATTGTGCTTTTTGTTTTATAAATAACATCTAAAATAAGAGAATTATGCATTTAATGACAATTATGCATCTAAAAATGGGAGTTTTGATGTGGTTTGTGATATCGTTTAATTTGCCGTATGGTAAAGATCATGTGCTGCATGTATAGACTCACTCCTGGAAATGGTGTCTTGTAGAATAGCGTGTGTTTATTTGTGTTTGAGCGTGTCACATTTGTCCTGATCAGTGTTTCTGTCCATGGGATCGCTGTGTGTGAGTGTGTGAGTGTGTGTGTGTGTGTGTGTGTGCGCACGCGTGAGTGTGTGTGTGTGTGTGCGTGTGCACGCATGCGTGAGTGTGTGAGTGAGTGTGAGTGTGTGAGTGAGTGTGTG